AATGCCGACAGTCTGATTACTGAGAATGGTCTTCATCCTCACAGTAGACACAGCAATTAAATAGTGTTGGCTTTTGGGTGTACATAGATATTATGTTAAGGAGAGATAGGCTTATTTTTACTAATTTTTAAATGAAAATATGACATTTCATCAGAATTCTTTGGTATTTGATATATTGACATAATGATATAGATTATTAAATTTTCTGAATAGCAGACCAGCCCATGGTATGGTGGTTATGATGGCCGAGTCCCACATTGCTAATTTTACAGTTCAAGTTCTGGACCCAATGGTACAAGGGATTCCCCATGGGAGGGGTTGCTTTTTCACTCTCCCCACCTCCGGTCTCTGGAAAGCGCACATACTGTGTGGCAAAATTGACAAAATAAATGTCCAATATTAACTAATTTTTAACATATAGAAGATACCTATACCTATTTATTCATGATGTGTTCTGTTTTCATATACTGTTGCATTAATTTCAATCTGAATTTTGATTAGAATATTTATATGTTCATATATAAATAACATTTATCTGTTATTTTCTCTTACAGAACCATCTTTGTCAGTTTCTGTTTAAAAAAAGATTGACCAAGTTTCCTAAGATTTACTTAAATGCTTTCTATGTTCTGGAATGGTTTATTTACATGAATACTATCTGTTTCTTGGAATTTTGAAAGAATTCACATATAAAACTCTTGAAAACCCTGTCATTTTTAAATAGCTCAATATTTTAAAATGTATTTCCATTATTCCATTTCACTTCTTTGTGACGATAGCCTGGCCTTTCTCAAATGCCCTGAAACTCATTCTCGCAAAATTGCACAATTTTCTTTATTTCATGAGACTGTAATTTTCAGCTGAAAATCGACAGTGTCACTCTCTCCAAGAACAGAACATACAATGTTCTCAAGCATATTTGTTCTAGAACTTCCTCCTCATTTTTATAGCATACTTTTAATTTCTCACAATACAACATTTCCTAGAATACAAAACAACTAGCCAAGTTGCTTAGGCTACAACTCTGTATCCATCAGCCAACATTGATTCCAGGTTCTGTGATGGACTATGGGGCAACATGAATTCTTCATTTTTCTAAGTCTCACTGCTCTTTAACACCCAGGGATAATAATGAGAATATCTAACTCATGGACTAATGAAAATAATTTGTTAACATTAACTATGTGAAGTGTCAACAAATATTAAGTATTCCAAAATAGTATCATTAATAATACAGGGAACAGCAAATGGCATAATGGTTACATCACTGGACTTCCACATAGTCAACCATGGTTCAAGTCCCAGACCCAGTGGCTTAAATTCATGGTAGGCATGTTTATGTGTGTCCCCAAAATCCCAAAAGGAAAATGAAGAGAAGGGATTGTGGCATGGTCTTCCCCTGGGGAGTGATTTCTCACTTTCTGTCTCTCTGTCTTTCTCTGCCTCTCTAGTGAGTGTACACGCACTATAGCAAAAGTCTCTCTAAAAAAAGAAAAAATGTCAATGTTGGTAAGTTATACTTTTTAAGAAAAATCACTCACTTAAAAAAATGTTTAAATGCATTTGCACAGAGTAGTATGATATACATAATATTTTTTTACTCTTCTTGTAGATTAGCTTATGTCCTTTCTCATTTTAAGTGTTTTTTAATTACTAAAGCAAATTGTTCATTTTTTTTCTTTTAAAGTCTAACTACTATGGGCCAACAGATAAGCAGGTTAAGGTGGCTGGATCCCACGTGGCTCACTGTATACTTTGAGTCCCGAACCTGGGATTCATAAATAAAAAGATAATCAAAATAATTTTTATTTTAGTATAAATAATTTTGCTTCCACCAGTTATTTTATTCAGTATCTTATTTATTCCTGAAAACAAAACAAAATTACATTGTAAAGTTTCCTAAGTAATCAAGATTAGGCTTCATTTTTAGTTTTAGAATGAAAAAATGACTTTTGTTTTACAATACTGCATTTTATTTTGTTAAAAAAAATTGGAGATAATTTTTTCTAGAGTCTGCAGTAGAAAATACTGCCAATATTATACCCTTAAAGTTAGACTCAATTAGTCCTCATTTTTTTTCAGTGGCAGACCTTTCATCATCTTTCTAAATAAGTAAGCATAAAATAAACACATGTTGAATGAGGAAATCAATGAATTGTTTCTCTGTATCTGGCCTATTAAATTTAAAGTGCTGGGACCAGTAGTTAGCGTAATGGCTATGTTGCTGGACTCCCATGTAGTTGACCACGGTTTGCGTCCAGGAACCAGTGGCTTAAAACTCATGCCGGGCCCGTGTGCGTGCGTGCCCAAGATCCCGAGAGGAGAATGGAGGAGAAGGGATTGCGGCGTAGCCATCCCCCTGGGGGGGGTGATTTCTCGCTTTCTGTCTGTCTTTCTCTGTCTGTCTGGCGAGTGCACTCACCCTATAACAAAAACCTCTACAAAAAAAAAATTAAAATGCTTTTATTAGTTAACATGCTGGTATACTCAATTGCCTATCAGATCATTTTCCTTCACTTTATCTACTGAATTATTTATTTAAGAAATTGGGGCCAGCAAGTGGTGTGGTGGTTAAGGAACTGGACTCCCGCATGGTTGAGTATAGTTCAAGTTCTGGACCCACGGCTTGAATATCACGCCAAATGCACATGCATACATACCCGAAATTCTGAAAGGAGAATGGAGGAAAAGGGATTGCAGCATGCCCATACCCCCCGCCCCCAAGGGTGATTTTTTCCATTTTCTCTGTATCTCTAGTGAGTGCACGTGCCCCGTGACAAAAACTAAAAATCAAAACAAACAAAAACAAACAACAAAAAACAAAAACAAGAACAGCAACAACCAAAAAAAAATTATTATTTTCCCCTTCAGATATCTCTTTAGTACTTCACTAGAATCTGGTGTTTATATTTTGATTAATTTTATCATCAAAAAGTCCTTCATTTCCTTGAGCAGATGTTTTACTAGCTATGCATTTTTATTTCATTGTCTTACTAATTTCTGTACCTTGGGCTCCTTTGGGCTCCTCTAAGTGGGTTCTCTGTTTCTTTCTTTTTCTTTTTTAGATTTATGTATTTCTATGAGAGAGACAGAGCCCACCTTCAGCAGTGCCTCCATGCTGCAATCCACCCCCAGCACCAACCAGCCCCAAATCATGGGCACAGGCACGGTTAGCACACTCAGGAATGTCTGGTTGTGAACCTGGAACCGTACCACGTGGGCCAGTCCTACAGTGTCGGTTTCACAGCTGTTCAGCCCTGAGTTTCTTGAGATTTGACAGCTCACTAAGGCACAGGCCCCAGACGCTCATTGGGCCTGGGTGAAGAGGAACACTCACACAGAACCACTCACTTCCTCCTCCTGGCCTCCAGGATTGGCCGCTCCTCGCCCATTAACCTGAGGCTCCTGTTGCTAGCCTTGGCTTTCTCCATCCCAAGGGGCCAAAATAAAACCCTTCTCTCTGCCTCCACCTGGAGCTCCAGCATCACATTTATCTACCAGGGCAATGGACCTACCACAGTAGGACTGGCTTGAAAAACAGAAGTAAGGGGAAGGATTTTCTAGGAACCATCTGGCTGTAATCACAGCCATCACAGGTTTTCCTCTTCTCCCAGGCCCCTCCCTCGCTCCTGCAAGCTATTGTATGAACAGTACCACTTCTCTAGGTGTAAAAAACCTGAGTCCCTGTGGGAACTTGGAGGAAGGAGCCCAGGTTCATCTGCGCTCACGAATCTCACCAGGTTGCTTTCAGCCTCACAGAGCTGTCTCCAAGGCAAGAAAAAGAGAGCAGAAGAGGGATAGATGGTCTTTGTGTTCTCAAGTAGAAAGTCTCCACGTTAAACACCCTCTACATCACTGGTCAGAACAGCCACAGGATCACCACTAGCAGGAAGGAAGATGAGGTGAGTGGCTCACATTTTTAATGTTTATCATGGGAGGGAGACAGGTTCTTCACCAGAAGGGAGGACACTGCTGTTAGGTAGGCAACTGATAGAGCTTGCTAAATTTCCCGATAGCTGATGCCAGCAGATAGCCTAGTGGTTACATCCCTGGACTCGCACATGGCGGACTCTGGCTCAAGTCCTGCAGCCGGTGGTTTGAAAATCATGCCAGGTGCACAGCTAAGATCCTAGAGGAGAAGGACATCATGGTCATACCTCCTGGGGGGTGATCTTTCACTTTTGCTATCATTCTCACTATCTCTGTCTCCCCCCATGCCCAAGGAGCACACGACCCTGAAACCTCTAATAAATAAACTCCCTGACAGCTATTAGGGGGTAGAGTCATGAAGTAGAAAAAATATGTCTCTGACTATCTAATAAGTCTTTCTCCTCCTCCTCCACCCTCTCTTCTTTCTTCTTCCTCTTTTTTCTTTTCCTCCTTCTTTCTCAAGACAGTGACAGTGTGTCACAGTCCTCCTTCCTCCAGCTTCCCAAGTCACTAGAATTATAGGCACACACCACCATACCTGGCAGCTCCCTAATAAGTCAGTTTTTCTGAATTTCTGTCTTAGTCTGCCGAGTGCAGTGCCCATTCACATGTGGAGGACAGTGGTGAGGATGAACATGCCACTTTCTCAATATCTCTTGTCTTACTGCCCTCACTCAGGGTTTCATCTGTGTTTGGTGCATGAGAAGTCTTCCTAAAACCTGGCATATCTTTGATCGCTGTTCTTAGCTTCTAGCATTGCTGGAGATTTGCATCTGTCTTTGAGATTTCCTAAGAATTTCTTGGTACTCTTGACAGAGGGTATGCATGTGGTTGCTGAACCAGTTCATCTTAATCTCAGTTCTTTCCACTACTCTGAGAAGGTATTTTTCAGCACATAGAAAGCCTGGTTGAGAAACAAAGATCTTAGCTACCTTGAAATCATTAATAAATAGGATCATAGGTGTTACTTTTTGCAGTGGTGTATCTTTTTCCTTTAAAAATTTCTGCTGACTTGGGGGAATTATGAT